ACCATTTGGCAGCCCTCGTTTGCTCTTAGTATAAATTAAATTTGCTTGTTCCTCACACACTCCTGTGTCAAATGCCTGTCATGACAAAGCATTGCTTTCAAATCACAATTCTGTCTCTGTCTGTCATGTAGGGAATGTAGGACCCATTCCCATTGGCAGTTATAGACAGGGACAAACTGCCTGCTTGCTTAGTGTCATTATCTATCACACACAGGTCTTCTAACTGAAGCAGAGGCATAGCAAGGTCTGTCCGGTGGTCAGTCTTTTATTTGTGCTCACCCAATCCCCAACCTTATACAAACTTTAGGTTTTCCATGGCACCCAAAGTGCACCCACCCACTTCTGATCCACACCCACAGTGACATACAAACACTGATCCGTAAATACACATTCACTGACAAACACTCATTGGCACAGACACAGACCCATACAAACACAAATATAGATATGCACACACCCATGGATACACAAACACTGAACCATACATGCACACTCATAGTACACATTCAAATCTATGCACACACATACAGACACTGACCAATACAAACACACTCACTGACACACACTGACCCATACACACACTGACCCATGCAAACACTTAAACACTGTTACACAGACACTGACCCCCGCACACTAATACAAAGACACTAAATCATGCACACACAGACACTAATCCATTTTCACACTCTCTGACACCAACACACAAATTGACAAAATGACACACATGCACTGAACCATAGACATTGACATTCATATACTGATGAGCAAAAAATAGGGCGCAAGAGTACACTGAGAATGGGCAGTAGCTGAAATAGCCTGCCCTTCGGTGGGTCCCCGCTCAGATCTCAAGCTGGTTTTAGCTCATCTTAAAGGTTAATCCAGATATGAACCCCTTGCTCACGGTGCCTAGAGAGATATCAGCTATGCCTCACTGATGATGCCTCGCAAGGCTAAAACGATTGTCTGGGGTTGCTTTGTCTCTCATGCAGAGGGAACTTACTGGCATTTCGGATCTGGACTGCCCGTATGGGTGGGACCAGCCTGATATGTTTCAGAGATGTTCTCTCTGCAATGGCACAAGATGAGCTAAAACCAGCTTGAGATCTGAGCGGGGTCCCACGGAAGGACAGACTATTTCAGCTGCTGCCCGCTCTCAGTATTCTCTTGCGCCCCGTGTTTTGCTCTTCATATACTGACACACAATGACAGCATATATGTATTATATAGGCCATGTTCCTTTGGGAGAAGGGAAGATAGTGTGCCCAGTGCCCTGGTCACTGTAAGTGTACAGATAAATCAGAGCCTCACCACTCCTTCAGTGTTCCAATGGGCCAGTGGCTTGAAAAGGGAGGGGGTGTATTGCTAAAAAGAGGCAGAATAGAGTCACCAGGAACTCCATTTATCTCTGAATAAATTTATTATATGCCTCAGCAACCAGAAATGTATTATATGCATCAGCAACCAGAGATATACTCTGCAATGCTACCTTTGCAGTCCTATTCCAATGTGTCACCCAATGACAGCTTTAACCCCTATTGATTTTATAGTACCACTACTGCACTGCACTGCCACTGTCCTGGGGGGCCATAGCACTTTATAGGGGACTGGGAACTCAGTTGAAAGTCATCAACAGGAGACAATGAAATGTCTAATGGAATGCAGCCTGGCTCCCT